AATATTTTCAATAAATATAACTGGGGAGTTATTACCTTTATATTACAGTTATTATTTTCTATTCTACTATTAACTTCATACATCTTTTACATTTTAAATACTAGCTATATCTTATTTTGTATTTTAATGCAGATTGACAGATTCTTGGTCCACAGGCTATTTGTGTATCAGCCAATGTATACATAAACTTTACATAACTACTGCTGACATGAATAGTACACAAATGTACTGTTCTAATCTTCTGGCTTAGTATGTGCGTGATTTACTAATCTATGAAGTAAACCCAGTTTTACTTCAAACATTCACTCATGCAGAAGAAGCTGTATTTTATGTAACCCATTGATGCCGCTGTCACACAAATATATGGCATCACAGAACTGGGCTTTTCTCCGTGGGGCCCCCCTATTTGCATACCTGTCTTTGTGCTGGGAGCGCATCACATGGAGTGCTCCCAGCACAAAGACCGGGGTGTCATTGAGAGCCCCTGTTCTAATGATTGGGACCTGGAACTCCCAATTCCGGGTCACATGATCGCTGTGATAGCCTCTGATTGTCTATCATTGTGATCACACACTGTGAAGCCCACCCTTGTGTTTTCTATCTCTTTGAATGGAGGAGAGTAATGTCTCAGACATGTCTCTCTCTCTCTCTCTCTCTCTCCTTGCAGAGAGAAAAAAAACAGTGTTTAAAAAAATAAAGAAAGAAATAAAAACAAAGAAATATTAAAAATAAAATAAAAAATAAAGAAAACATATCTAGATCAAGGGTTGATCCATGTTAGTGCCATGATTAGTGTTCGGGTCAAAGGTCAGGATTTTTTTTTTCAATTAGTATCAGTGTCAGTGTAAGTGTTTTAGGTAGGACAAAAAAAAAGCAAAATGCGCACTATAGCTTCTGGGCTGTACTACGGGTACAAACAACAAATAACATACACATATGTGGTATCACTGCGATTGTTAGGAGCTGCATAATTTATTTTGCATTGTTCTTTGGTGATAGGTTATGGTAGTAACACGAAACACAGCTAAATGAAAAATAAATATTTTTACAATTTTGGGTCAGTTTTCATTTGATAATTAAAAAAACAAAAATCAGGAGACATCCATTACCATTTACCACCAAATCAAAACCCACTTTGTCCTGAAAAAAACAAGGTATGATTCACCTGGATACACAAAGTAGTTGTGATGATTTCTACGGTTTTACTAGCATGTCAAAGTTGCAAAATTGTACTTGTGCATTATTTGTTTTATCCTTAGGCGTGAAGGGGTTTAATGATCCATGTTCATGTCTGGACCAATGAAAAAAATGTGTATTTTTACTGATAACTTGGAATCGGTGATTCAAGCAAGGTTTGGTTTGCTGGGCATTCGCTGAACCCAGCAGGAAAAACTCTTGAAGTCCATGGGAGCCAAATCTTGTATTTTTTTCTAGTATTTTTCAAGGCCAGTTTGGAAGCTTCGGTTTAAAAAGGTCATGGGCAGCTGGCCACTGGAATGGGGGACGTGTATAAATGCAAAAAAACCACCAACAAACAGGAAGCAGGTCTTTTATTGAGGCTTACAGGGCAACATTAAATGTACACAATTCCTTTAACTAACATACTTGAAACAGATGCCTAACCTGCAAGTGAAGTTGTGCACCTGTAGGATGTTCAGTACTCCCACAAAAGTGACATTTAGAAAAAAAAAAAATTTCCTCTAAATGATATTTCATGGATGGCTTTGTCTGGTTTGTTAAAAAAAAAAATCATGAGGTTGTCATGATATTCTATTCCATATGCAGTCGCTCTAAAAAAATAAATAAAAAAAATATTGATTTTAAGCTAAATGTGCCAAAATTTACAGAAACTGTGTAACAATATAGGAAGTGTAAAACGCATTGTAGCCCTTATGTAAATAAAAAATGTATGTATATATAAAAGCAAATAAACCCAGTCAACATTCACCTCAAAGGGCTCATTCAGTTGGGTGATTAGTCCAATCATCAGTGCAGAGCCAATGGCAAATGCATGTGCATCCTCCTTGCAGCTGCATGCAGGCAGCCTATAGAAGTGGAGGCACACAATGGCTGAATGGACACAATTTCATGTCAAACTTTGACATATGGGCAGCAGCTGGTGCACGGATCCAAATTCAGACAGTGTGCGCCCATCTGAATAAGCTCTGATCCATATAAGCAATTAAGTGTAAAAGCAATTTTGTGTCTCAAATTGTCTTTGTAAATCGAAATAGAATCTTATTAAACAAACATCCAAATTCCTGTGTCCTCTTGATACTCTGTATCTCCACACCACCATGTCAGTATTGCAAACAAAAAGGTACTCAACATTTGTGTTCAATTCAGTCTCACCAGAACATAAGCAACCTTACTGTAGCTTCAGGTCAATAAGTGCTCTATTGTTAAATATTCTTTTTCCTCCTACTCCAAATTCTTTCTCCAACCAAAACCACAGTCTCAAATCATCTCCATATGATATTACCAATGTAAATGTATGTTTATTTAAAGGTTATAACATACTAACCCCTATACACTCACATCTTATGGGGCACAAATCTGCACCATTGAAGCATATATACTGTACGTCAGATCAAATTGGCTGCTGCGCTTACAGCGGTGAGCTGCGTCTCTCACCTCCCAGCTCCGACCTGGATGACCCTTTTGCTGGCTCTCTACACCAGCCTTCAATGGATAACGTCCTGATGGCTTACACTCGCAAATCCTCAGGGAAGTGCTTTTGGATTTTGAGGAAAACCTTATATTTTTTTCTTAAAGGCACAATACACTTAGTTTAAAAAAAATAGTTTATGAAATGTAAACGGCATTAGGTTCCCCTCCAAATCTATACCAGACCCTTATCTATTGAAACACACAGAAAAACAAAAATATCCCACATTGTAAATCCATGTTGCTTAACAACATTGATAATCACAATGAGCAATGCCTCAATGAGCTGCTGATCTACTTCTGTCACTACTTCTGTTGCAAATTATGGTTTTCTGACACAGCTGGAATATATATATAGCACCTGGGAACCTGGGTGATGTCATTGAGTGAATAATGCCATAACCACATTTGGTCGGTGACATCACCTAGGATCCCTGCTGGCTTGTCTACAATGTGAAACATGTCTGTGGGTAGCAAGCTGCAGCACCCAAAGGTTCAGACAATCAAACTGGCCAGATCTGATCATTTAGTTTTCATGTTCACTAAATTGCAAACAAGATGGGTTCAGGTCAAACTCATGGTCTACCCGAAGCTCATCCCTACTCCCTTTCAACTCCTTATCTAGCCGCTGGCTCTAAACTTCTAAAAACTCTGTAACCCATATCTCCTAAGATGGGGAGCCACAAACTAACCCCCCATAAAATGTTAGCACTTCCATCATATAGCCTGTACTCTGTATAGTCCACAACACAGTTTGAACTCTTCTTTTTTTTTTTTCCCAATAAAGATTTATTGAGCATCAAAAAACATAAACATAGACAAAAGCATAAGGTTGTATCGATACAACAGTTTGCAAGAAGCATCTAGCCTTATAACGAGAGTAAGTCAAACAAAAAGAAAGAAAAAAAAAAAGAAAGAAAGAAAAAAAAAAACTTGGCATGGAAGTTGAACACAGAAGAATGAGGGGGCAGACCCCAAACAACAATTTAGAGAACTAAGAGGAGGATGTGAATCTAGAAGGACAAAAAATAAACAGGTTTTGAGTAACTATGGTCATAAGAACCTATTGTCAATATCGTCCGTGGATTCATGATAGACCAGAACATGGAATCATTGATATCAGAGAACATTTTTGAGAACGGTGGATGTGGAGAAATTACACCAAGGTATGTTGATTGATAATGTAATTCTAGGTCAGGTATGAAAATGTTCAGTTTAGCATGCTGGAAGCACCATCCCAGCAAAAGAAAGGGAAAAGAGAGAGAAAGAGGAAGAAAAAAAATGGGGGGGGGGGGGGGAGAGAGAGGGAGGGAGGGGTAGGGAAGGAAGGAAGAGTAGGGAAGGTGGGGGGGGGGAAGATGAGTGTTATGAAACGTAACTTAAGTTATCGAGGAAGGATGACAGAGGGGGGTAGCATGTGTCTCTTCCCCTCTCCGCCGGACGCCAAAGCATCACATCCCCCTCTCCCCCACACCATAGATGGCCATGAGGTGAAGGGAAAGGAGCGCAACCAGATAGGATCCCAACTGAACTCTTCTAACTACCACTAGAACTTTTTCGCCTGCATCACTGCAAGAAAAAAAAATTTCATCTCCACACTGATACATTTACACCACTATACTTCCAAAGAGATAAACTACTACTTCACTGCTTCTCCATCCAAATTGAATGCATGTTCCCACCCAACCTTTGAAGTTCTAAAACCACAGTATTAATCTAATCAAAGCCCGTAGTCCTGGAACAAAGCTGCCCCTCCAAACCAATGCACCAATTTTCAAAGCTCTTCATCCGCATCCAATCTTGGGGACTGATAAACTCAAGCCAACCCTAGACTTAGGACTTTTTTTTTGTAAATTTACATTGCACATAAAACCATATAATAAATCCTCAAAATACCCTGGATTACCATTTTAATGTCACACTTTAGCTTTTTGGTAAAATGTAATTATAAATGAATATACAAACATATGCAATGAACACTTACAAAGCAGTGTATGCTAAATACTGTGCATAGAGTTTTCAACAGAGAAAATTGCATAACACGTAAAGCATAAAAAACAAACAGAATTAAAGTGGGAACAGTTTGACAAGCAAATGTGTTGACATAAGCTTATTAGAGAAAATCAAAATCAAAGCACAATAACCCATTACAACAATCACCAGTAACATTTTACTGTACTGTTTGCTTCAAAATAATTCTTATTCAACATACAGTGACTGTGTGTTTTCTGTTACTTTCCATAATTATATATATTTATATAAAAAAAAACACATTGTCAGAGTGCAATGGTTTACATAAATAATTAAAAAAGCTTTGTAGATAAACTACTTACAATAGCTGTTGGTGTTGCAGCCAGCACACAGTACAGCACCAGAGGGGAAATGAAACTTTCATCTTCAGTCCCTGGGTATGGTTTCATTAGATTTCCATCTTGGCAGAAGAAGCCTTGAACGTGCACTTGAAAGGTATCCGTACACTCAAAGTAGTATGCAAGCAGAACAGTGCCAGCCATAATGACAAGCTGAAAATAAAGCATGGCAAATTAATACGGACATAAACCAAAGGATTTTCTCATGACAGCAATTTCCATTGAGCAATCATGTCACCATCACCCAAGCAATCTTACAATAACTGCGGCTGGATTCTTTGCAGATGTACAATATCCAATACATAAGCCTTTTGGCAAACTGACTTAATGAATGTGCCTGATCGAACTTGCTTCTGTGTCTGGTTCACAGAGGGATACCGAATTACGTGCCTTCATAAAATAAAAAGGGCATAGGAGCATCGCTAATGATATCCTAATCTCAGCAAAAGAAAACACTTTACTTATCCACTGAATCACAGAGTGCCCACCAAAGAGACTCAATAAAGTGCCTTGTGCTGTAGTCACCAACCCACCGGCACCCACAGGGTGCCCACCAAAGAGACTCAATAAAGTGCCTTGTGCTGTACTCACCAACCCACCGGCACCCACAGGGTGCCCACCAAAGAGACTCAATAAAGTGCCTTGTGCTGTACTCACCAACCCACCGGCACCCACAGGGTTACCTGAACATACTGCAACAAAAGGCATCTGGCACCAAGGACTTCAGAAAGTACTTTGTGTAAAAATAGATCTTTTACTTTTCTAAGTACTTGCTTGGCTTAAAAAAGAGCTAATGTGGGTTCTAAACATTTTTTTTTCTTTTTTCAGATGTACTGCTGCTTTTTGTGATGAGAAAATACTGTAAAAACTGTTAAAGGGCTTTTTTGACACAAAGACACAAAGCATTTGGTATAGGGAAACTTTTGCTGCAAAACATTTTACTTAGGCACTAGAGAAAAAAAATGTTACATACTGTATATGGTACATACAGCAACTTACCAGTACTTGGGGTGACCACATTTGTTTTGTTTCTGGGCTATTCCCTTTTATTTTCACTAGGTAATCTTGCAAATACCATACTTTCTGTCCCTATTAGAGTTGGGTTTGATGTTCGAGTTCAACATAAGTTCAACTCGAACATCGGCCGTTCGTGTATTCGGTGAACACACAAACAGTAAGTGTGTTCTGGGGCCCACCGTGCCCCACAATGCACTGCGCCCTGACAGTGCATTGTGATGGGCCAAAGCAATGCACCTAACCACAGGTCAGGTGAAATGCTTTGGCCAATCACAGCACATGATGATGTCAACAGGGGGCGGAGCCACTCTGTGGCATCAATCGGGTGACCCCGCCCTCTTGTGATGTTCTCGGGTCGGCAGTGGTAGTGGGCTTTGTGGTTTATGTTGGATCTACTTTGGGGGACTTTTTTTGGGGTGTTTGGCCCATCACTAATATGAAGCTCAATTTGTGCACTAACCTGTAATAACCATCCAGAACCCCATGTTTGTTATGTATTACTGCATTTAAAATTGTACATTCAGTTCTAAAATTTACACTCTTTTCCTATCTGCATGCTCCTTGTACTGTAGCACAACTGAATATTTCATTGTGCTGGATCTCCTCATCTAGTTTGAGCTCTGCTGCACAGGACCTGTAAAAGGCTGATAGCAATAACAAATACAAGTTCATACACTGGTTACATTAAAAATAAATGTAAAGAATATGTAAAACCCAACATTTCAGATTTCTGATAAGTGCCTGCTGTACCATGTACTGGTATGAAAAAGTATCCTGTTCTCTTTATATTGGTTACTTTGTGTAAAATCCCAGGTGTTCCTGTCAGTCCCTCTGCTTTCCTATTAAAAAGTGACCAAACTAGAGAACACCAAGCATGGTCAGTTCTCTAGCTGTGCTGGAACTCAACCTGCTCTCCTCCAATGATCAGACTTGTGCTGACACCCCCCCCCCCCCCCTTCCCTGCACAGACATTCACTGCTGTTTCCCCTCCTCTAGTACTCTGAGCTTCTTATGCAATTGAGAACAGAGTCTTAAAAAAAAGGTTTAAAAAAAAGGTATTTATAATGTTATATATCTATGCAAAAATGTTTTGCCTTTCATTTCTATTTTACACTGAAAGGGTTGTTTTACAAATTGAGGGCTCACATATACTTTAAATATGTATTAATGAATACAAAGCTGCAATATTTTGTGGGGTTTATACGCATCTGTCTTGAATTTAGCATATGGAATATGAACACTGTGTTTAAAAAGGATGGTTGCTGATATGTAGCATTATTCAGTAAAGCGTTCTTATTCCAAATCGCAATGAAGATGTTATAGCTATCAAACAGAATTCAGTGAGATGAAGTCAAGAAAGTAAAAGATGCAATCTGGTTGACTGCTATAGGTTACTGTTCTTAAAGGTTCAGTCCACCCAAACGTGATATTTAGTTATATAAATAAACAGGGGTGGACTGACAACTCATGGGGCCCCAGGGCAATAGGGATCATGGGGCCCCTGTGTCCTTGCCCAAACTCAAATAAGCCTATGAAAAAGGTACCAGGGGCATCTCATGGGGCCCCCTACTGACCCTGGGCCCACGAGCAGTGCCCGAGTTTCCAAATGGTCAGTCCACCCCTGTAAACGAATGTTCTTTGGCACACAAATTAGCCAAAGTTTGACCATTTAAGTGAAGATATTTTCTGAGTAATTACAAGACTCCTCCAAAAATCCTTTTTGAAAATTACATAAAATGTATCCTTTAACACTTACCCTCAATCATGAATATGATGACATTTAGTTATAGCTATATCCTAGCTGGCTGAATAAGATGCTGGTTTATTATGACCTAAGTGCTCTGACAGTGAAAACCAATTACCATAGTAGATGTACAGACCTGGCAACTCAAGTGCTGAGTTCTCACCAGTTGAGGCCTCTCAAAGTTCTTAATAGAGAATATAACTCTCCTGCATCTGCTGAAAACCTGAAGATCAGTTTTGGGTGGATTGATTGTTTAGGAATTGGCAAATTAACATTTTATTGAATAAAGCTGAACAAAACTAAAGAGACGGCAAGAAATGACTATGTACTTTTCATCGTAGCCCTGAAAGGAAACAGACTCCTCTGGCAGAGACAACTCAGCTTCAACTGCACATGAAAGCTCTCTGCAGTTGTGTGCATAAATATTTGATTATCAGACTCCGTATTGTATCACTCCTAACAAAGAAACCTAGGGCATTTGGAAAGCTTCCATTTTCAATCTTTTAGAAAGCTATAAACTGTATCAAACATTTTCCTCTCATTGGTAGATAACAGTAGAAACTCAACAGCCGGAATATGATGTGATATATACAAAGTTGATGTCTTCTGTTTCCCTGGCATGCAAATTGTTAAAGTAGACTAGATTGTCTATTTGAAAGCAAATCTGCAAAAATAAAAATATAGCAGTTGCCCCTGGACTTGTTTTTTTAAGTGCAAAATGGGAGCCCTCCCGACTGCCCTCTTAAACTAACAAGGTGGCCGGAAAGGGAGATATTTATGCTGTGGCCATGATGTTTTGCATTGTGGAAAAAATTTACCACATTTCACTTTCAGCATGCAGTACCATCAACAAACGCAACCCATTCAAGTCAATAGGGCTGCACCACAATCTTTCATGCAGTTGTGGCGTGGTGCTGCAGGCTTTCAATGATTAAAATAGACATCCTGGATTTATATTGCTTCCAAGTTGTTTGTCAAAAGTGTCAATGGCAAGTGTAAATGAGCCAAAAAAGTCAATTTCCTTTATAATGGGTGTGAGTTTGCAGGGTGGGGGAGAGGTAGACACAAGCTAAGTACTAAGGCTTCATTTATAATGTTGCACAATACATTTTTCAAGATTTCTATATAGCTCTTAATTAAAGGAGTACAACCAAAGCTTTTTTGGCTGCACTTATCCTGTGGATCACAGGAGTGCAGTTTGTTCTGCACTCCCGTGACCTGTTTTCAACCAACAGCAGGCTGAAGCCCACTGTTGGCTGATGTCACAGAGCTTGTCCAGCTTGGAGAAAGATCCTGACCATATGGTCCACCAGGAGCCTGGACTGGCACCTGGCTCAGCCTCTCAGCCATCTGCTGAGAGCCTGATCCAGTCGCTCCCGCCCCCTCCAAAGCCCAGTGCTCCAGTAAGTGCTGGGGTGGGAACAGAGCAGACAGGGGTGACTCTCCGCTCGTGGAGAACTGAGAACTGAGAGATCAGCAGTCTTTGATCTCTCATTTCTCATTCTTAGATCTGGCAGGGGACAGATGCAGTATGTGACCAAAGCTGCATCCACCTAGGTAAGCATGATCTCTAAAAAAACTTCTCTTTAAAGTCATGAATTTTTGTTCTTCAAATACTGCCATCTTCTGACTGGTGTTTACAGTAGGTTTCTTTGTGGTATTTCTTGAAAATAAAATACCAACTCATTGAAAGTGGGGGCTTCCTATTGAACCTTTTCATTATCAATATGGTTACACTTTAAGTGGTATGTCAATTCATGACACATCTTAAATAATAAATAATTTAGAATAACTAAAAATTTGAAGATTTGTATAGCAGCAAATTTAAATAAATGTAATGGTGTATATATATATATATATATATATATATATATATATATATATAGTATATTGCTATCTATATTCTCTCTCTCTCTCTCCCCTCATACATATACAGTTGTGTATATATATATATATATATATATATATATACACATATATATATATATATACATATATACACACACATACAGGTGTGTGTATATATATATATATATATATATATATATATATATATATATATGTATGTATATATACTGTATATATATATATATATATATATATATAATCTTGTTTATATTTGCATTGTTTTACTACAGTTAAGTATTTTTCCAGCAGATGTCAGTATAGGCACATGTAGTCAGAACTAAATCTAAGGGGGCTGTTTATGTAAATGTCTGAATGCTTTTATGCTTTTTATTTATATTATTTGGCCTATTGTTCACCTCATATTTGCAATTTATGAAGGGTATTTGTTTTATCTGTTCAGTCTGCAAATGCTCCTTTTTATCTGCTATTATTATCGACTATTCAGCTGAAACCATTTTGAATGTGAAAGAATTGTATTTATAAGTTGTGGAATTGTAATTTAAATGCAT